ACCAAACACTTTTTCCCTAATTTTCCCCAACTTTTCCCCATTATTGCCTCAAATCGACCCAGCTTTCTGCCCCCCTTGCAAACGGAGAGCTGGTGTGCGCCACAGATCCACCCCGCAAATATCCACCGAAACATCCCCAATTCCTCAGGCACTGAAACCTCCCCAGTTCCTTAGGCAATGAGACATTCCCAGCTCCTCAGGCACCGAAACGTTCCCAAATCCTCAGGCATTTCCTCAGCAGCCAGGGCAGGCTACAGCTACAAGCAAACAGCGAGCACCCAGCCTCCGGGAGGATTGCGTAACGAATGGGAACAGCAAATTTGAGGGGAGAAAAAAAAAAAAAAAAAAAAAAAAAAACAGGCTCAGAGCTTCGAGGCTGCCAAAAATGAGCCATTGATTACAGCGCATTTGAGCCATTTGCATTCAGAGAGCTTTGCTTTGGAGCCGAGATGGAAACAGAGTCTTAATATAGCTGGAGAGAAAATATCCTCCTTGCACTCTCCTAACTGCACTTTGATAGGAAGCAGCCACAGAGCAGATGGTGCCTATATATAATCACTAGACCTATTATCCCAGCCTCTTTTAGTAATTTGAAGGATGTGATAACCACAAGGAGAACGGCAAATATTCCCCCTCCTTCCCTCCCTTCCCCCCGCTACGAAAAATACCCAAAAAAAGGAGCAGGAAGCTGTAATTATGGGAACGATTAAAAGAATTTCCAAATGAAGTAAATAACTATTTTGCACGCCGCTCCTTCAAGCCAGAAGTCAGAAGTTAATTAAATAGCAGCGTGTTACCGAGGCGGGATAACGCGGCGAGTCCCAGCCGCAGCGCTGCCGTCGGGAGGAACTGGATTCACTCCGGATTAACACAAACCAGAGCCTCCCCCTCCCCGCTTCCAGCACGCGTGTGCACGCACCGCTGCTCTCCTGCAGTCCTCTGTAGCTGCTGTTTGCTGATCCTTCTCTTTTTATTTATCGGATCGGAGAGTTTTGGGGTTTCAAGTGGTGAGTGATGGGGATGTGATGCTCTCCAGGGCTCCCTGCCCCATGGGGATGCTCGGGAAAGCCTCACAAAACTGATTTCTGTGATCTTGTGAGGGGAAGCTGGGGAAATGGGGTGTCTGCAGGCTGTTGTGGAGGGGCAAAAAAGGTTTTTTTTGGGGGAATGTGCATGCCTTGGCCAGCACGGCCCCTTCCTGCATGGGTCCAACAATCCCAGCTGGCTACAGGGGCTGGAGAGCAGGGGTGGGAAGAGCCAAGCCTACTTGCAGGCAGCTGGAGGGATTATTCCTCAGATGCTTTAAGGGCCCAAGGCAGTAGCTGAGGTGCCGGGGAGCATCCCTGGGTATGGGGCCGGTGGCTGTGGCTCCTGGTGGTGTCGCTGACTGCAAATTGGGATCAAGGGTGCTGTGGGGCATCAGGAAAAGCAAATCCTCCCTCGGGGGAGAGACAAGCTCATTGCAGGGAGTAACCACAGCTTACTGTCGCCTGTCCCAGTGTCCAGCAGGAACCAGAGCGGCTGGTAAAATACACCCAGGTCTGCGAGGGTCCATCCATCATGAAAACCTCTGGGATGAACGCCACGAGGAACAGCCGAGGGGGCTGCAAGAATTACCGGGGACGTCTGACTTCACTCCACAGCTCAGCGAGCATCAATCAGCCCTGCTGGCGTTTTCTGTGCTGCTCCGGGGTCAGAAGCGTGAAGCTCAGCGAGCATCAATCAGCCCTGCTGGCGTTTTCTGTGCTGCTCCGGGGTCAGAAGCGTGATTCACTGGCGACGGGACCACAGGATAACGCACAAAACCACTGCTGGATCCCACGCAGCCCTCCCCAGAGCCCACCCCTGGGGCTGCAGCGGTGCCAGACCCACCTGTACAGCAGCAGCTGGGATTGACCCTCCTCTGAGGAAGAGCAACGCGACAGAAAGCCAGGACAGCAGTGTCCAGGGGCTGGCACTGGGCTTGCTCAGAGCAAGCAGCCACTGTGGGATCTCCACGGGGCCTTGAAGTGCCCTGGCCCTACACCACGGGTGAGAACCCAGCAAAATCCCACCTTAAATCAGCAGAAGAAGCAAGGCCCTTATCCCAGCTCCTATCCTGGGAGCAGAGGAGAGGAAAGCACGGGGTTAAGCGGCGCTGTGCTTCCCCCTCCACAAAGCAGACCAGGCGTGCAGCCAGATCACCCCCAGGTGGAACCAATTACATGGGGAGAGAGAAGGGGTCCCAGCCGCCGGGCTGCAGCCTCCACCGCAGCCCCTTTGTCACAGATCTTTGAGCAAAGAGCCAAAGGCTTGTGCTGCTCTTATTAAACCACGTTTTTAAGGAAATGCTGCAAGTGAAGACGTTCTGCAAGCCAGGCGTTTGGTAGCTGCTGCCCGTGCTGGACACGGCACCGGGGCTGCTTCACCCATCCCATTGCACCCGGGGCAGTTTTGCCTTTCTGCCCCCTTTCTGCCTGCTCACACCTTGGCTAACATCAGATGCCATCAGAGAAAGCTAGAAACGAACTCCAAGCCTGAGCAGCCAGCAGAGAAAGCCGGAGCTGCTTGCACCACGCCAACCGGGGTCTACATTGAGCCAAAGAGATGCAGACAAGGACAGCGCAGGGCGAATTTTCATGTAAACGTCAGCTACCCACGTTGAAACCCAAATTTAAACCCTTCACCATAATATTGTTCCGTCTGATTGTGCCACCACGCCAGGCACAAGTACCTCGGCCAAGATCAGCACGCGGCTCCCCTGGAAGGGCTTTGCCCCTGGAACCTGCTGCTGGGTGAAGCCCCTGCCCAGATCAACACCTCCAGGTGAGAGGAGAGCTCCAAAATAACAGCAAGGAAACCTAAACAAACAGCGAGGGCTTGAGGGCTTTGCTCTGGAATAAAGGATTTGTGGACACATTGAGCGACTCAAGGGGCTGGGACAAAGGCTGCCCAGCCGTGTTTGTTTTTTGGCATCTATTTGTGGACTTACTGCGCTCGCGTCCAAGCAAATATTGCGTTAGGGAAGCTCCCGACCTAGCACATGGAGCGTGGTCTCTGGCTGATTTTTGAGAGGCGTCCTTTAAGACCCGGTGCTTCTTGCGGAGCTTCAGCCACCATCAATGATTAACCTGCTGCACCTGGTGCGAGGCCCGTTTAGTCGCAGGCCCTTTTCCTGCAGGCCCCGTTTGGCGTCATTCAGGCCTTTCCCCTCTTAGGTAAACACCCCAAACCTCACTGACACCTCGGCTCTCGTCCTGTTGCGGAGCTGGTGTCAGCACAGCTCAATCCCAGCTCCTCAGCAGGGCTGGGAAGTCACCTTCACCCATCATCATCCTCGTCCGTGGATTACGCTTGGTCCTCCCTGCTTTTTGCTCACGACACAAGGACCCAAATCCCTTCTGAATCCACCTGTTCTAATCCTTTCCTGGGGAGGAGAAGCCTCTGAACTACCAGGCATGCAAAAACCCCCCAGAAAAGCCACCAGGAGGTCATTTTTCAAACCAAACCTCGCACCACTGCGCCTGCCAGCCCCATGCTGTCCGAATTGGCTCCAAAGCCACCCGTGCTGCTTGAGACATCCCGACCTACGCAGGGCCAGGAGAGGTGCACAGGAATATTGTTCAGAGCCTGTGGAGAAGCTGAGACATCTCTGCTAAATCCCTGGGTGACAAGGACGAGATCAGAGAGGCAGGGACGGGGCCACTACGGCCATAAACCCAGAGCCGCATCTCGTATCATTGTCGATTTGAAACGCCTCCTAAAAAAAGCACTTATTACAGGAAAGGAAAAAAACAACCAGAAGCCTTAAGTGAGCGTTTTAAAGCTTCCAGCTATTCAATTGTGGCTTTCCACATGCTGATAGAAAAGCCAGCGCCCTTGCCACAAGGAGCCTCTCCTCCCCGAAGCGCTCTCCGCATCCCTTATGGCATCGCCAGGGATAACGTTGTCCCAAGGACAGGTGGAAAGGGCAGGCTGAGAAGGCTGCACTAAAATGGGGGTAAAAAGCACATTTTGGAGGAATGAAGCCTCCCAAAGCCCAGCACAGCCCATCAGGAGTGACCCAGAGATGTGTTATGAGAGCCAAGGGAGGTCTTTGGGCATTGGCCGTGTCTCCTCAGGACGAAGGACACAACAGTCTCCACTCAAGTCCTCCTCAGAGAGCATGGGTGGGCAGAGGGGCTCCCGAGCCTCATTAGGAGGCCATGCTGCTCCTCCTCTCCCCAGGACAACTTGCAGGCACCAAGAGCTGCTTTAAAAAGTCCTGGCTGCACCACATCTCCATGCACGACCACTGGTAAAGCTCCAACAACAGCACCCCGCAGCATCGCCGAGTGCCCAAGCCTCGGGCTGGGCTCGGCACCATCCAAAGCCTGGCACTCCCCAAAGCCTGACAGGGCCAGAGGAAGGGGAAGAGCTTCCCAACTCTCCACCTCCTGGAAAACGTGGAGGAATGTGCGTTTACACCCCCCGATCGCCATCAGCTTTGCACCTCTACGCACTGCAGATAAGGGGAGATTTTTTCAGATACACCCTGAAGATCCCAGATCCCAGCCCCGCTTCCCAGAACGATGCCTGTGCTTTGGGGCCCCAGTCCCGTTCCCTCCGGGGAGGCTCTCATGTCCCCAGATCACTTCTGGAAGCGAAGCATTAGCTCCCCGCTCGCTTTGGGAACTTTTGGAAAGTGAGCTGCAAACCTAGCTGGAGCTGCATGAAACAAAAGGGGCCGCCTTCCATAACGTGCGTTTTTGCTCTTACAGCTTCTTGGCTTGTTTTTCCCTCCTCTCCGGCTGCCAATTCTTTGAAAATCCCACAGAATTAGAGAAAAAGAAAAAAAAAGGCAAAAAAAAAAAAAGGCAGGCAGGAAATAAAAGTTAAAAAAAAAAAGCAGGTAGGGAAAAAAAAAATAAAGGGGAGTTTTCTATGGCCCGGATGAAACTAGCCCCTTTGCTAAACACAGCAAAGAAATGTTTTCTAGCGGGACGAGGGGGACCAGCTCCCCCACTGCCGTCGGTACTTACTCGTGCTTGTGCTAGTGCCGATGGTGTTGATGGTGGTGGGGACGGAGGAGGAGGAGTAGAGGGGCAGATGGCCGTTCTCACACGCCAGGTTTTTGTCCTGCCAGCTGGAAGCGCTGACGCTTATGCCCGAGTCTCGAGAGTTTTGCCATCCGTTGAGTTTATCATCGGAGTTCTGTCTTTGGTGATAGTAGTGCGTCTGCCCGTAGTCCACCGAGTCCGACCGGCCCCGGCTCTGGCCGCCGAAGCTCCCCGACGTGCGGTCCTCCAGGTGGTTGAGCCACATGGCGAGGGCGCTCCTGTCCTCCAGCGAGGTGGCGGGGTGTATCAAGGCGTAGGACAGCAGCTGCCGGCTCTCCTCGATGTGTTGGTTGTGTTCAATCGAGTGGGCCAGGATTTTAGGCAAGAGTTTCATGTATTCGACTTTTGCTTCGATGTTTCCGGGCTTCAGTAAAGGCAGGTGGGTTAACAATAGGGAAATCACTTTATCCTTGGATTCCTGTTGCCATTGGTTAATGATTCCTGTTGAAGGAATTAATAAAAAAAAAAAAAAAAAAGAGAGAATTGAGAAATCAGCAAACAGAGCTAATAAATAAATAAATAGACTCAAGCGGGGTAAATACACAACAAAGGGATCCCTGCACGCTTGATGCCACTGCACGAACGTCTCCTAGGCTCCACCAAACATGCCTCTCCCAGGCAGGAGGTCACCGCTCTCTGACAACCAAGTTCAAGGCAAAGTGTGCCAAATTCAGCCCTGAGAGGTACCGGGCACTTCTGAAATTCCCTGGCCATACCTGCCTCCGTGGCCACGCAGCTCTGCTGCTGCTCAGTGAAGTCGTCTTATTGTTAATCCAAGTTATAATTCGTCTCAATCCCAGCATCGCTGCAGACTACGCAAAATATTATGCCAAAACTTTTCATTGGTAAGCTTCACCTTTTAAAAGCACTGGTTAGGAAATAGAAAAGGAGCTGGCAAGAGCCCTAACAGAAAGGAGGTGTCCCGCAGGGGCATCGGGAGAGGGACGACAGCCGAGGCAAGGCGCTGGTCCGCTCACCGGCCCGGCGTGACGACCTGCCCCCGAGGAATTCAGGGAAGGGCTCAGTTGTAGCAACCGCAGAGCTGTTGCTGGTCTGTGAGCTCACGGCAGAGAGGAGAGGCTTTAGAAGACAAGCAGAAACAAATGCAGGATCTAGCTTTAAAAATATGCAAAGGGGGAAGCCAGGGAATTACAAACTGGTCACTTAACTCGAACTCATGGAAAACTGATGGAACAAATAATGAAACAAGCTATTTGTAAGTACTCAGAAGATAACAAGATGATAAGTGACTGCTGACACAGATTTGTCAAGAACAATTTAATTTCCCTCTGCGACAGAGTAACTGGCCTGTGAATAGCTGGAGGAGCAGTAAGCGTCATATATCTTGATATTCATTAGACACTGCTGCACATGGCTTCCTCGCCAGCAAACCAGAGAAACACGCTCAGACGAAACTACTGTAATGTGGGCACACAACTCATCAGAAAACCATATGGGAAGAGTCGTTACTGGTGATTCATCGTCAGACGGGGAGGATGCGCTGAGCAAGGAGTCCTGTCCCGGGTGCGACACTACCCGGCGTTTTGTTGGTGATATGGGTGATGTGATAAATGCATTCAGCAGCGCGGGTATCGCACTGGGAGAAATGAAAACACTCCAGTAAACTAGATTAGAAGTCAAATAATCTTGAGACCCGGAGGCAACGCAGAAAAAAAGAGCAGCACTACGTAGGGTGCACACTTGTGTGTGCAGGTGGGAAGGAACCGCTGCGCTGCAGCAGCCGGAGAACAGGCCCACAGGGAAGAGCCCGGGGTTGGGAAGTGTCACAGGGTGAACATCAGTCAAAATGCCACATTGTGCACAAAAAATGCAACAGCCAGGCTGTCATTTGACGGAGGTGTGGGAGACGGACACAGACAAGCTGCTCTCTGTGTCTCCTGAGGATGCCAGCAATAGGTTTGAACTGCAGCACGGGAGAATGCGGTCAGACAAGAAAATACTTCCTATGGGGATGGGGACACCCAGGGAGAGATGGCCTAAGGATGTTGTAAAATCTCCACCCTGAGGTCTTTCTGGACAGTTTATAAAATAACAGCCCGGGACAGCTCAGGATCTCCCTCGAAGGCCCTGCTGACCCTTGCCAGCCACCAGTCAGCCCATCTCACGCAGCCCACCAAAGCCCTCTGTGGAGCCCTTTTCTGTCCCTGTAGCAGGTCACGCCTGAGGGTGCCTCTGAAAAAGTATTTCCTTCTGTTTCCTTTAAACGCCCTGACCCCAAATTTTACCAAGTGAAATGCTGAGTTCACGCTATAAAAAAAAAACACCACAGAAATGCAGACTTTCCTCTGCGCGTTCTCTGTCTCTGCCAGACATCTCCTACCCGTACTGTAGAGGAAGCTGCTCTAAATCTTTGACTATGTATTTCTGAGGTAACCGAACCCCCTCCCATGAAATGAAGCTCTGGTTGTTCACCTGTAGGTTCTCTCCTGGGAAATCCCAAGTGCAGCAGCAGCAGCTAACCCTACACTCCCAACACCCGTTCACAACACGACCCTAAAAAGGGCCGCCGCTTCGCATTTGGCCACCACAGCTGGGGCCAAACCCTGCAGGCCGGCCCCGCAATGGCACTCTCTCTACTTCACATTCCTGTTTCGAGGCATGCAACTGTTTTAATAGCAAGCCACTAGATGGCTTGCTGGAAACGCCGGTGGCTCCCGCTGGAACTTTCTGTGGCGGTCGCCGTGTATTTCTCCACAGCCCCGGCCTCCTCCCGGCCGGTAGGGAAGGGACCATGGTGTTTGTGGCAGGACAGAAATATCAGAGCTTTGTGCCTGTGGAGATGCTGTGGATTCACACCCTGTTTGCTGTTGTTTTAGTGTCTCATAACTGGATTTGGAAAAATGAGCTTGAACTAAGCGAGCTTGTGAAGAACACAGAGGTGTAGTAGGACTCCGGCTCCTCTCTGCTATGGGCACGCCACACACACAGTTTATGAGGCAATACAAAGAGAATTGTATCTTGGGTCTTAACTCACCATCCTGAGCTCAGCCTGCTTGTCACCCACTGGGGGATCCACACACAACCCCCCTGCCCTGAGCTGGCCACCGAGTGTGGGGTATTTTGACAGGATTGCCCTCAAAACACCTTGGTGCAGCTCCGCTGTTTCACACAGTAACTAAACACGCATACAGGCCAGGAAAGCAGCCTCAGTGCTGAAAACCCTTTGCTTTTGGAAATGCCTGTGTGGGATGCAGCACCTCAGGCCTTCCACAGGACTCACTGTCACCTCCCTGCCACCCCTGCCTGCCACCATGCACCCACTGATGGGGGTCCCACAGAGGGATGCAGGCAGAGAAGCATCACCCCAACGCCTTCAGGCATCTTTGCAGTGGGGAGGGTCCCATCCCTGCTTTCCCCTCCGCCCTTGCTGGTGGGAATTTGGGATAACTTCCTCTGCGAGAGCAGCCTGTGCAGCTTTTCTCCGCCTGAAGCACTTGGTCTTGGCCGCAGACCAGTCTCATTACTATTACTCGTTGCTCTCGCTATTTTTCCCATCGGTTCCAGAGTGTGCATAAGTCCACACGAGTCTGAAGCATTATTTTACAAAGCTGACGAAGGCAGATTTGTGCTGCAAGGATGACAGGATGACTGCAAACAGCAGCGGCTGCAGCTCAACACAAGCCCCTTCCCACCACCCCTCCTGTGACCACCTCCGAGCCCCCACTGCTAGCACCAGGAAACCAAACACAGGCACGACACGATGCCTTTTATCACCTCCTGTGGACGAAGGCAACTACTTGGCCAGGTTGCTCCATTTTTAAGAGCAACTGGTTGTGCACGACACCTTCTGCCCATGCTATGTGCTTTTCAGGCCTGCAGCAGGATGAATCTCTGGTGCAAGAAACCTGGCTTGTTTTCTCCCATCCTCCTGCAGAAGGATTTCAGGTCTCTCCTACCATCCCCACATTTCTCACCGCTGTCAGGTCAACTTGGCGGCCCTTGTAGGCAGGCACCGCTGGCCCCTGGCATGGCACAGCCTGCAGGATTCTGCAGCAGCACGAATTAGCTGAGAAATACAAAAATCACTAAAAAAAAGGCATGCAACGCACTGCTAAGGGAAGTCAGTGCATAGGAACTATGGATGTAGCAAAACCTGCAGGAAAAGCAGAGCCCGGTGCAACTCTTTGCAGAGGAGGAGGAGGATGGGGGGGATGAAGGTGGCCCTGATCGGGCTCCTTTTCCCTGCACAGGGGCTGAGTCTAAAGACACCACTGGAGAGACCCCAGACAATGCCAGAACCACTGCCTGGGAAACTTGCTTTGGACCCCCGAGAGATACAGGGGGTTTAATAACAACCCCCAAAAGATGGAGAGCTTATCCAAAAGCCCGCTGTGGACGAGGGGCGGGCGTCTTTCCCGGCCCCGGCAGGAGCCGTGCTCCTTTTCAGCCAGCAGCAGGATGTGCACAATTAAACAAAAATGAAAAATAATTAGATCCGAAAGAGGTTTGGCTCTCTCCGAGACAGGGCAGAAGGTCAGGCGTAATCCTATCTGCCAGAAATCAGGGGATCTGGAGAGGGCAGCACAGGGTGGGCAGCTGGGGCTGCCTCTGTGGGGGGCAGAGGGGCTGACGACCCCCAAAACCTCCCCCCCATTGCCTGCTGCAGCTCCCTGCCTGTTGTCACACATGCCCAGACCCCGGAATGCCTCTCCCTTCACCGCTAAAATCAGCCCCCCACGGTCAGATGGGGCTAAGACACATCCCAGCCTCTGGCTCCCACGGTCCCTGCACACTACCTGCGGTGTTCACGGGGTCGCAGGTGTGGACACTAATGAGGTAAGAGCCTCATTAGTTCCTCTGGTTGCTGCTTCAAGGATGCCTGATGCTGTCACAAAAAAAAAAACAAAACCACCACAAACCAAACCAAAAAAAAACCACCTTTTGCTGCACTAAGGGATGGCAGGGCTGTGACTATTTGCAGCAGCCCGATGAATCTGAGCATAGGGGAAACCCCAAAGTTAAAAAACGCGAACCACATATGGCGGTATGTGAAACCACACCAGGTGGTTTGTGAAACCGCCCTCTAATTTATCATTACTTAGCCAACGTGATATCTTTGCCATACAGCACAGCCCGTGCACGAGGAGGGTGCCGGCGAATAACCACAGCACCCGACGGCGCTGGGACCTCCTGCCCTGGCTGAAGCTTGTGCTGCCCTACAGTGACAGCAGGACACGGGTGCTGTGATGTTTTCTGCCACGCTGTCCCTGAGAAAAGTGACTTCTGGCTTGAGCAAGAGGTGACGTTTGTCCACCTACGAAGCATTCATACGATTCCCCTTTCACAACCTCGCTTATCATCACTTCTGGATGCACGCAAGCTGCTAATGCCCTCAGCATCCCGTGGCGGGGGATTCCACGCTTTCCTTGACTCTGAACCTGTCTCCTGCTGGATGACTCAGTTATTTCAGCCTCAAGGAG